ATTAGGTACCCATGCGCCACCCTCTTGACCATCCTCAGTTTATCGGACATAACTCGGGCAGCAGTTGCAGCTGGGATGTCAGACTCGCGGGGAAGCTCGACAAGGGTCCAGGCTCTGTGATCAGATATTCAGTGCCTGACTTCATCCACCCGTTTTTCTTGTGCAGGATGAATATTATGGGACCACCCACGACAACAAATTTTTTCCTTTCTTCCTTGTACGGGCTCCTGAACCAGATCTTCCACCGTGTATTTCGAGAACACCCTTACACACAACTATGGTCCGGCGCAGGTCAAATTTGAGCAGCGCACTTTCCTTTTATGACGTCTGATTTGAAAAACCGGCGCCGATTTTCACCACTCGGGCTTCTCTTCAATTTCTCGAGAACTTCTTCAGAGGCCTTCAGCGTTCGCCAAATCACAGATACACAGCTTAAGGTACTAGCTTCCAAATGGTATAGTAGCCCGCTGCTCTATCCCCTTTGCTTTTCTGCCATTCCTCTATATGTGTCGGCCATTTGACATGGGTATGACGAATATAATACTTCTGGAACGGAAACAGGGGAAAACACAAAAAGTTTGCATCCGGAGAAAATTGTTCCCAACGCCCAATTTCCTTTCCAGTTTCTTCGTAGGCAAGTCGAATCCCTCCCGTACACCACCTAATCAATAGCGGGAAAATCAACTATCAAAAACAATTTTTCTCAAGAACAAGTACCCTCAGCGATGCGACCCCCCCTGCCCTATTGGGAATGCCACGATGAATATGCCCTGCGCCCAGAATGCATGCAAACCTAAAACTTACCATCAGTTCGCCCGATGGTGGTCGCGTAAAAGCTACGCTATCAGTGACCGCGCCAGCTGTATGCCACTTTGGACTCCAGTCTCAGTGTAAATGACCAGCTTTAATCAAGTCGTTTCTCCATTAGTGTTTTCATTCTGTTTGCAGAGTCAGCAATGGGCGGCGAAGAGTTGGAGTACACAAGCGCACAACAGTTCTACAGTGAAGCATGTAACGAAGACAACGATGAGAAAAGACTGGAGTTGCTCAGAAAAGGTCAAGGTTCACCATCCTATGTAACTTTCAGGCCAATTACTCCACACTCTCTTCTTACATATGATACGTTTGTAAATACATTGTAAACACGCCATTTCCTTCAACCTGACTTTTTTTGAAACCTTTTCCTTCCGCTCACCCTGCTTAGAGCTCCGTTCTTAGCGGTGGCAGACGCCAATTGTCTGAATAATAGTTACCACCTGGATGGACACCTTGTTAGTGCGACTGGTAAGTCCAATGGTATTTCGCGTTGGAATAGCGGTATCTGTTCATACTGGATAGTCTTGTAATAGAATATTCTTTCACAGTCCATATCCCGGAGATTTGGGGACGTCCGGCTGCGAACTCGATTTGGATGAGCTCTTCGCAATTATCCCCATTTGAGACTACTGTCATCCTGTCTTGTACTACACGAAGACATCATTACGATAAGCCTGGACCGGTCATATTCCGTTAAAAGAGCATCGTTTGCCACGTTCAAAGGAAGTACGTAGTCACGCCTTCTCCATCTCTTGGATATAGAGCGTACCTCGCGTTAAAACGTTTCTAAACTTCTATATTACTTTTATATGTATATTCTTTTATAATTTACTTCCTGATAGTGTTGGTTGTGTAGTAACGATTGCGATGGCGTTTTGAGTATCCTATCGCGAAGGGACGCGGCGAGAGCTGACGTCGCGGTGGGCGGGCGACCGTCTAAGGACCCTCATCGGTTTTACGTGGCTAGGGCACGGTTATGTTGGCGTCAAAAATAAGGAGAATACTAGCTGGATGCGTGCAGTGTTACGCAATTGGTCGATATCTCTCAAACACACCTGCTTACGCCAGGATATGCTCTTCAGAGTGAGACGAACTGTAGGGAGGAGGGGGCGGATGGGGGGGGGTAGTGAAAGAAGACAAAGCGTCAACTACCAGTAACAGAATTGGTTCTGATCGCATCCAGAAAATTGCACGAAAAGTCGGCGAAGCAAGAAAAAAAATCCGTTTCGGCTGCTGAATATTTCGGCACACGAGGAGAGAATCCCAGTTTCATGGCATAAAGCCGTTCAGGGCACATCATCATTGCGGATTTTCTAACAGGGGGTCGCATTTGGTCGCTGGGTGGATGGGGGTCGTATCTTATCTGAGAAATTTTTCTGATAGTTTGATTTTCTTGTTTCACGAACGCTATAAGGGGGAGGAGGTCGTATTCGCCCTTTGAGAGAAGAATTTCGGTTGGGAAGAATTTCTCCCGGTTGTTGACTTTTCGCGGTTTTCGCGATTCATATGTGGTATACCCCCGCCCCGTATCAGAGGAGGGAACCAAGGGGGAGGGGCGTATGAAGTCGACCGAAATCCACAGCTGAAGATGTGTTCTGGCTCGACCTTTGCTGGTTTCCTTGGTCTCCATAATAAAAAGCTCTTGGTTCCACTCAACAGCGCGCGACTGGATGTCACACGTGTTCTGCTAGTCCACGAGCTTCCATCGACATAGTGCTGCACACCCCTCCTCCCCTCCCCCCCCCGGGTTACACTAGCCCAACTTTTACGATCCACTTAACTCGTGAAAGTTTGTACCTCCCGTGCAGCTATTGATTTGAGGACGTATTTAGCCCAATCTCACGCGGTGAATGCTTATGGAACAGAACCAGAGAACCCCGAACTGCTATCCCTGCTCTGCACAGTAACCAACGCTCTGGTTGAGGAAACCCAGTCGACGGAGGAGAAGGCGAAATACGGACTTGAACTCAAGGTAAGCCATATGTAAAGATATCGTCCAAGGAAAGAGGCGAGCTTACTAGAGAGGCGGGGTCAAGCTTAGGTAGTTGTGGCTAGAATTCGGTCCGGATAGAATGCGTTGGGACACACACGATAAAAAGGATAAAGTCTTCGCCGTTAATCAATCCCTTTGTGGGATGCGGCACGCATTCTACTTCCATTCAGAATCGTAGTGGCTTATTGAATGCGATGTGGCCTATACAATGACTTGCGGCCGATGTACAAGTCAGTGTTTTATCCTCCCAGACGAATCTGGTACCAATTTACCGTCCCCGGAGGGTAGAAGGCTTGGTTGGCCTGGGCGGGTGTCGACCTGGGATTCGAACCCAGGACCGCGCCACTTGTCACTACACCACCCGCCTCCCACATACGACCTATGGCACTAACCAGGGAAGTCCGCCAACTTACCATGGAACTTTGAATGGAGACCTGGGTAGATCGATAGAGTCTATAAGGTTATTTACAAATATAGATAGCAAAACTGCAACCTGCATTTCACAAGCAACTTATGAGCAGGTAAAGTTTG